GCACGTGCATGCGCGTGAGATGTTGCTATTTTGACCATGTCATCATGTCCATACTACTAATAAATAATCAAATTATGAGTTTCAAAGCATTTCATCAAAAAATAAAAACGTTACGGCTGTACCTATTATATTGGTCATTTCACGTGTTGCACGCGCACGCTCTTGCAAGCACGTGCGCGCAAAATGACCTTGACTAGTCAATTCTACATAACATGTCTACTAACTCTAAAAAGGTTTTACCTACATCGGATGAACAGTTTACAAGATCATTCCCGGACAAAAAAGTACCCAGGAAGAAGAAGAAAAATAATAATAACTAGATGCGATCTCGTTGCAAGCAACGAGTAGGTCTTCCGTCCGAATTTTCGATAAGATGAGATATGACTTTGACTATGATCTTTGATAAAACATCATGGAATCATGCCTTTTTTCTCTTTTATTTAAATCCTTTTGATTTAGATAATATCATCAATGCGTACTTAATTTGCACATTAATTCTTTTCTTTTTTCTAATTTGAAAAACTACCAAAACCAATTAAAGAAGATTTGTAAGAAAACCTTGGATTATAAATGTAAATTGACACAGAATTGCAACGAACCTACGACGTGACAATCCAAGTATCCCTACACATTTCATTGCTCCTTATGTTACTTTCGTTCAAGCAAACGCTCGGCTGCCTCTGTTAACCGCTATTGCGAAATGTCGGAATTGACAGAGACCGCCGCCATTTCGTTGCCGCTTCAGATTTTTGAATGTTTATATCTCGAGTTTGAATCAATAAATTTACAAACGAATTATATATTCAGCCTAATAAGAAATTTTTCTATCAACTATACTAATATAATTTGAAAATATTGAAAAACAAAAAAGTTAAAGACGAGAGACTTTTGGCCCCTCTATGTCCCTGATTTGAAGCACTAACCCCGTTTACTTGATATCAAATGAAAGGTCTTACTATATTGCACATTTTTTATTATATATGTCTTAACAAAATATTAACAGATAAAAAGATATAAAAGAAAACGTGTCAATTTTTGCGAGAAGAGTATGAGGCTATTTTTCGATCCCAGGCGAGCGTCGATGCCTTTTTACCTGGAAAGCTCTATATGCAAAATGTCACATCTACTATCCTTCCTCTACCTTCACTGAAAATCTCAATTCGATATCTTCAGTCGTTTAGGAGGAGATCTCAGGACAAGCTGACCCTCTAAAAATCAGAAAATCGTCCATATATCACGACCGGAAGTGACGACGTACTTACGAAAAATTTCCGACAAGATTCAGATAAATATCTATCAGATCTGAAAATTTGGTGAGAATCGGTTCAGCCGTTTCTTAGAAATCGCGTGCACAAAATCGGTAAGAAAAAAAATAATAATAATAGGGAAAAAGAAACCGAACGAAAACAATAAGGTCTTCCGTTGGAGACGGAAGACCTTAACTAGTGCTAATTGTAACGGGAACCGTTACAGATGTTCCCCAAACGCTCCCCAACTCCCTTTTGCTGCCATATTCCCTATAAGCTTCATTAAATAAGACAAACTCTATGCATTTGAGACTTTAACAACGTTTACCCAGAAGTGTACCAATTTCATTCAAATTTTAGCATTGCACGCGTGCGCATGTGCATGCATGTGCGTAATGACCATATAATCTTGTCTTTACAATCTATAGATTTTAATATACTAAATATCAAAGTATTTAATCCAAACGTATTAAAAAAATACGCTAATTCAAGTGTATTTTAGATTTTACTCATTTCACGTGCACACACGTGCTCACATGAGCATGGCGACCATACTTTCTTGTAGAAGTCCATTACATCTATCTATGCTCTAAATCCCACCCCGTTTGGTTGAAAACCAAGGGAGTGATAGCTGTTCAAAGTTTCAGCCAATCAGATTGCAGTGCACGTACATGCACGTGTATGCATGTGCATGGTGACCATGTCTTCTTGTAGAAGTCCATTATATCTATCCATGTTCCAAATCCCATCCTGTTTGGTTGAAAACCAAGGGAGTTATAGCTATTTAAAGCATGAGCCAATCAGATTGCAGCGCACGTGCATGCACGCGTTTTCAAAATAATTGCTATATATTTTATTGTAGGATATCCTAATACATGCCTATATTTAAAATTTCAAAGGATTTCGTCAAAAAACAAGAAAGATAATGAGACTTTAGTTTCAGCCAATCAGAGCGAAGCGCACGTGCATGCGCGTGAGATCTTGCTTTTTTGACCATGTCATCTTGTCTATGCTTCTAATATATACTTCTAATATGAGTTTTAAAGCATATCATCAATAATTTAAATAGTTACGTCTGTATCAATTATATTGACATTTCTCGTGTTGCACGTGCGAGCTCTTGCAAGCACACGTGCATGCACATGCTTTCATGATATTTCTTTTATTACGGGCGGTAGATCTCCCTAATGTATGACTATGTTCAAAATTTCAAATGATTTTATCAAAAACAAGAAAGATATTGAGACTTTAGTTTCAGCCAATCAGAGCGAAGCGCACGTGCTTGCTCGGGCGATCTTGCTATTATGACCATGTCATCTTGTGCATACTACTCATATATCCTCACATTATGAGTTTCAAAACATTTCGTCTAAAAATAGAAAAGTTACGGTTATATCCATTATATATTGGTCATTTCAAGTTTTGCACGTGCGCGCTCTTGCAAGCACGTGCGCGCAAAATGACCTTGATTCCGCAAATCTACATAACATGCCTACTTACCCTAAAAAGTTTTCCCCTTAATCGGATGTGTACTTTACAAGATCATTCGCGGACAAAATTTTCCCGAGAAGAAAAATAATAATAACTAGAGCCGAGCTCGTTGCAAAGCAACGAGTAGGTCTTCCGTCCTGTTTGACCGGAAGTAACTTTCCTTAAAAAAAAAGAAAAGAAATGAAGTCCAAAAATGGTTTAATCCTCCAAATTTATGTTAATTTTTGCAAAATTCAGCAATTTTTGGCAACTTCCGGTTTGACCGGAAGTACCGTCGACGGACGGAAAATTAAGATTTAAGCTTCCAGTGACATATGATATCCAAAAACTTGTCAAGAACAGCAAAAATATGCAATTTTTGACTACGGAAGTGATGTCGCCGGACGTATTTTGACGACCCCATTAGATAAAGCTTGACATTTTGAACAACTTTGCTTCTTTCACGTATTACAAATTCTCAATACTTTTTAAGATATAAAGGGCATACTTTCGGCCCCTCTAGGCCCTTAATTTTAGGGGCCAGCCCTTTTTTCGAGATATCATTTGAAAGATCATGTAATTTTACACTTCTTTTGTTCTACATGTCTTAACAAAATATTTCTAAGTAAAAAGTTATCTTTGAAAAGGTGTCAAATTTTTGAAATTCTTGATAGGACTATTTTTGCGCCATAGGGAGCGTCGGCGCTTCCTACTTCCAGTAATAATGATATACTCAATTCACATCTACAAAGGTTGCTCTATCATCACTGAAAATTTCATACTTATATCTTCAACGGTTTTTGAGAACATTGCCGGACAAAGTGACCCTCTAAAATGACAAAATCGCGAAAATCTCCGAACCGGAAGTGACGTCATCAAAATAAAAAATTTTATTTCTAGATTTTTTGATGTTCTATCAGACCTGAAAGTTTCATGAAAATCCATCCAGCCGTTTCCGAGAACTCGCGTGCACAAAATCGGTAAGAAAAAAAATAATAAGAAGAAAAATAGTGGAAAAGAAACCTAAGAAAAACAATAAGGTCTTCCGCTGAAGACGGAAGACCTTAATAATAAGAAACAGAGTAAAAACAATATGTTCCCCAACTTCGTTTGGGGAACATAACTAACTAGAGCAAAGCTCGTTGCAAAGCAACGAGTAGGTCTTCCGTCCTGTTTTGACCGGAAGTTAACAAAAAGAAAGCAATGAGCTAAGTTGTCTCCAGTGACTTTATAATTTCTATTTTGAGTCAAAACCTTCAAAATAAGCTTTTTTGGCTACTTCTGGTTTGACCAAAAGTGATGTGAATTGACAAAAAATTAAGTTTAATGCCTTCAGTGATATATGTTACCCAAAACCTTGTCAAGAATGACAAAAATATGCACTTTCTGATGACTTTCGGTTTGACCGGAAGCGACGTCACCAGACGCATTTTGACGAATTCAATAGATTAAGCTTGACATTTTGAACAACGTTGCTTCTTTGACGTATTACAAATTCAAATTTTTTTTATCAGATATTAAGGAAAAAAAATTGGTCCCTCTAAGTCCTTAATTATAAGGGCAAGCCCTTTATAGTTGATATCCTTTGAAAGATCGTGACATTCTCTATAATTTTTCTTCTATATGTCTTTACAAAATATTAACATGTAAAAAGATATTGCAGAAAAGGTATGAACATTTTCTAAATCCCCGATGGGATTTTTTAAAAGCCACAGCGAGCGCCGACGTGCGTCACATCAGCACATGTAGCTCTATCATCACTGAAAATATTATGTTTCTGTCTAAAAGCAATTTTGAGAAAAAATGCTGGTCAATGTGACCCTATGAAAATCACTAAATCACAGAAATCTACACTAACGAATGCTCTGTGCCAAGTTTAACTTAACTTTGTCCAGTTGTTCTGAGAAGGAAATGAAATTCTGAAGAATTTAAGATAAAGATGATAATGGGTGAATTTTCAAAATTTTACTACAGCTTTAGCTCATATGAGCTAAACTGTAAACAGATTTTGTGCTTTGTTGACTTTAAAATGTTACTGGACATCTCTTTGATCTTGTGTTTGAAATAACATGTCCTTTGTTCTGAATCATGCACATTTGTTAATGCTTTAGTTGTTTATGCCAAGATAGCAATGTTCCTTCAATTATACTGTAAAAATACACATATAAGATCTTATATATTGCCACTGAAGACAGACCTCTATCATCTTTACCATTAGAGTTGGTATGTCTTCCCTTGGAAGCGGAAGACCTCAATACAGATGTAAACATGCAAGATCTGACAAATATTTAAAAGAACATTTATTCCAAATTAAACATATTAGATTTTGCAACAAAATCTATTTATCTTGAAAAACTGAAAGCAATTGATATAATCATATTTTTGGATTTATGTCTGTTTCTCAAATCAAAATTTAAATATGATATATTTAAAATCATCTTCTTAAACTGAGACTTGATTCAGTTGGTTGTTTCAATTTCATTCTGCTGTTAATTCTTTGTCATCTCCCAAAAGAGGCTCTTCTGGCAAATCATGATCATGCTTGGCATCAAATTTCAGTACTCAGATGACAGTCACACCTATCAAAAGAAATTGATTTTTTTAAAAGTACAACTTATCAGATAAGATAAACCATCAAACTTAGTTATAAGATATTGTTATACCTTTGAAAAATTGTTCCTATACAGATCTATACAGAAAAAAGTCTAATATTTTTAATGTTTTGCTGAGCGGGCATAAAAAAATCGATGTTGGACCGCTCAGAGATATGTTGAACTGCTTACGTCACAGAATGGGCGGAGCTTAATCTCATTTTCATTCTCTGGTTTTAAACAATGACAGATCTAATGTTACATTACGGAATATAGTACAAATTATACATGTATGTCAAAAAATATTAAAAAAAATGAAAGGTATAACAAAACATTTATTGACAGAGTTCTCAGGCAAAATGCGTTTTGTCGGACCCTCGAACCAAACTGTCTGCCTTCGGCCTAACGGCCTCGGGCAGACAGTTTGGTTCTATGGTCCGACAAAACGCATGTTGCCCTCGAAATTAGTCAATAAATGTATACTGTCACGTTTTCTGCATGTGTATTATTTGTAAAACTACTCTAAAATCATTTATAAATTTAGGTTAACAGGCAGTCATTTGAGGATGTAATAAATAACATATTAGTTTTTCATGATTTCAAATAAATGGTATATACATAACTTGTTCATGTCAAAATTTATTAGGAATGGTAATGGTTAACAGTAGGGATGTCAAAATTGTCAATAATTGATATTCGAATATTCGATAGAGGTATTCGAATATATTCGAATATTCGATAAAAAAAATACATCTTGCTTTATAATTATATATCTTCACTCTTTCGTCAAGCAATATACATTATTTTTTGCCATTATTTTGGAATTAAATCTCATGTAGAGTTTTGTAAATGCATAGTAGTTATATTCTTAAAATATTTTACAGAATATATGAAGATTTTACATCCTAAATGTGATGATTTTTTCCTGAAATTTCAAAAGACTCTTATAGTACATGTACTTTCCAGATTAATTAATTGTCTTACCAAAGTATCCACTGATAACCCCTACAGATTTACACCAGACAGAACAATTATGTAATGAAGAAAAATTAAAAGCAATTACTTTTAGCCAATTAATTTCCTGATAATGATTTTAAATGATATAGAAAAACAAGGGATCCATGTGTTTACTTTAAAATTGTGTCCTAACAATACAGACTTATTGTAATTACTGGATACTGTTATACCACTATTATTAAATGATTAAATGGATTATTTATATTAATTTAATAGAAACACTCTTTACACCATGACGGTTATCCAAGAGGATTATCTTTTAATTTTATTTTAAATCAAATCTATTGCTGGTCAACAGTACAAATTTGATTCAATTTCTGTTTAAACTGCCAGATTTTTCTATCTTTTAAATGCTTGTATACTTAAAATCCGAATATTCGAATCATAAATTTATATTCGAATATCAACTCATCGAATGAATATTCGAATATTCGTTGACATCCCTAGTTAACAGTTGTTAATCGACTAATCAGTCAGAAAGATGGTATCTGGTTATGATTTTTTATGTGTCAGGATAAGGCCATTCATAAAGGTGTTACAGCACATTAGAGATGTTTCTGAATATGAATCGAATCCGAATCTGAAAATGAATCTGAAACGAATCTGAATCGGAGGGATTCCGATCCCGTTTTGAAAATAGATATAACTCTAAATTAGACACTGAGAGTATGATTACTGACGTTTTGTCTTTAATATATCAATAAATACTTGTAACCTCTATTTGCATTTCCAATGTCTTTGTCAGCAGGGGTGTAGTATCCGGGGTGGGGGGGGGGGGGGCAGGGCGGCCTGCCCCCCCCCCCCACTTTTTTCCCAACCTTACTTAAGTTAAAGGAAATGTTAATTGAAAGCCTGGTTGCCCCCTCCCCCCTTTTTTAAAAATGTAGCGAAAATGTAGTATAAGAATTGGTACTAAAAGTAGTTGATACTGAGAAAAAGTTTACCCCCCCCCCCCCCTCCACGAAATAGGATTCTCGACTTTGGGCAACTTTTCCGTTTTTTTTTTTGTTTTTTTTTTGCTTGTCAACTCTTTCAGGTAAGGAATTTTTTTTCTCTGCCTGGCTCCCCCCCACTTTCAAATACGATGCTACGCAACTGGTCAGAAATGAAATTACAAATAGTTAATGTACTTTATTTTCTACTTTCTATTTGTACTGGTTCATCAAAAGGTGCTGTTGAGAAAATCACGTGCAGGGCGGGACAAATAGAAACAAGAAGCTTGGCTTGTAGCAGGTTGATTGACAGAATCAAGAGCATGTAAATACACTGTATAAGGAAAAACTGTCAGATTTTTCGAATGCATGATGATGATCAATTGATCTGCATTCGATAAAAAAAAAATGGGCTGCGAGAAAGTGCACGGTCACAAGATAGCGTTGTTGAAAAAAATACGTCTAAATATATAAGATGCATTTACTCAATATAAGGTTCAAAACACCATTCCTGCGAGGAATAAATAAAGTAAGCTAATGAAAATTTTTCGAACAAGTTTACCCATAAATTGAAAGGAGTCCTTTTTTGTTATTCAGTCTACAGAATTTGACCAATTTATATCAATAAACATCCAGTGACAAAAATATAAACACCACCCACTATATATTTTCCTTATTATCCCCTCGCGCAACTAGTTGCGGAGGGGATATAGCATCGCGAATGTGCGTATGTATGTGTGTTAGTGTGTTAGTGTGTTCGTTACCTTGTGGGCAAGATTGACAGAGAACCTTTGCATTTACCTTTCTCAGCGTTTACATACTTGTGTGGCAGCATAAAAGGAAAAAGCCTATTAATTTTCAAGTCCATTGATGAAATATTTCTTCAGATATCGCGTTTTTACTGCCTCGAAACCCTGACATTTTATGTACGAGTTGACAATAATCATTTGTGGGCAAGATTGACAGAGAACCTCTGCATTAACCTTTCTCAGCGTTTACATACTTGTGTGGCAGTATTAAAAGAAGAAGCCTATTAATTTTCAAGTTCAGTGATGAAATATTTCTTCAGATATCGCATTTTCACTGTCTCGAAACCCTGACATATTATGTACGAGTTGACAATAATCATTTCCGATAGGGAACCAGTTTAAAAGCCGTGTCGAGTCTGTGGGAACCAGAGTAAAAGAATTTGATGAACGTCGCGGTTTCATTACCAAATTCCAATAGACTAGGTGTCTGGGAATTTGGGGTGCACATTTAATTTAAAGTGTGTGTGTGGGGGGGGGGGGGGGGGGGCTAAATCAACAAAAAAGGTAAACAATTTTCAATGCATAAAAATTGTCCATATTTGCAAAAAAGTGGGAGGCTAAGCCTTGTTATTTTTCATTACGAAAAAAATGCATATTGCCTGGAGCTGTGAAATATACTAATTAGGTAGGTAAATAATTAAAATTACTGAAACTTGTACATGTAGCATACGTGATATGTTTCTACTAGGTATAAGGGAAAATGCCCAATTACGTATGCATATTATGCCCCAACCCCAACCCCCCTCAAACTTGAATGTTATGCATTTGATTTTTGTTAAAAATAGACACCCCCACCCCTTATAATTTTGTTAAAGAAATAAATAGAGCTGATAAACAATATAACACACTATATTAAACTTTACTACCAAAAATTAGGTATCAATGTTATGTCCCCCCCCCCCAAACCAAGACGCTTTGCATTTTGTTAAAAAAAATCATAAGAGGGAAATTAAAGAAGATATGTTGTAGTATCAATCTTCAACATGTTTCACGTTAATCTAGAGAATTTATTTCTTACAAGATATTGCCATTACCAGTGATGTTCCTGCCGCGAGGGGATGCTCCGCTTAGCGGTGCCCTTGTTAGTACAGGTACAGGGGCATTCTTAAAAAGAAGAATTAAGAAATATTCTTTTTATAATGTTTTTTTAAGTTATCGAATCGGGATCGGGATCTCACCGATTCAGATTCATTTTCAGATTCGGATTCAATTCATATTCAGAAACATCTCTATTAGGAACAATGCACTAATGAAGTGACAAAACAGCATCACATAAGAAACAATGAGCTAGCGCAAAGTTACAATGCTGCTCTAGCTCATTTAAAACACAATGCTTCTAAGTTTATGACAGCATGCTAATTGTTTAAGACACTTACATGCTAGCGTGAAGTAAAAGTGCGCTATCACGCTTATGAGAATGGGCTAGTGTGCTTATGACAACACGGTGACACTGTACTTAGTGCGTTTGTAACAAAGTTTCAGCAGGCTGTTTGCACTACGCCGTCAAGCTTACACATAAATATACTCTTGTTTCCTGTCCCCTGACCAAAAAAATCAGGGTCGGTAGGTAGGGAAAAAATTTTATTTTTTTAAAATTTAATGAATGCAGAACATATAGCATGTAATAACTGTAATAACAAGAAAATAATATGTTAACAGTTTCAAAGCAAGTTTGTTAATCAAGATTTATAAAGTAAAGGTAACCTGTACACTTGTGATGTATTAATTCTGTAAATATCATTGGTCAACTTCAGTATTTTAGAAAAATAGTTATCCAAAAAATGAAAATGTAATAAAAATTTTTAGGGTCGGAGGGTAAAATGTAGGGTAGGTCGAGTGACAGGAAACAGGAGCATTTTTTTATTTTGGCCTAATAGATTGTGTAAAGTTGTATTAGGCCATTCCAAGTTTTTTCTCTGTTTAGCGTCCAACCATCTTTCAAAAACCTACCAATCTATTCGCAAAAAAACAACAACACAGAAGCCAAAACATAAAACACCTGATTTAAATGATTTTCAATGATTTGATCTAACTAAACTACTTTAATAGAAGAAATGTCTAATCTTAAGCAAAAACAAGGGAATAAACGCTTACAAAACACCAAATAAAACTTACTGTACAGAATTATTTGGAGAAATTGACAAATTCAACAATTTTGCCTAAATTAATCAATTTCAGGACTCTTGATGTTGTGTGTTTTTTCTAACATGGGGTGTCAAAAACCAAGGCGCACACGGACGCTAAACATAGAAAAAACTTGGAATGGCCTTAGCATGGCAGCATGTTGAGCATCAGCACAACTGCATGTTGTTCTAAGTTGCCTTAGCCTAACAGTGTTGAGAACACTGTGTTAACACATTGTTCCTAACACACACTTTAACAAATTGCCTTATCAGGACACCATTTAGTTTTCCATATATATTTTAAAAAGACTGGGAATAAAATTCAATTTTTGATAAGTTTCTTTTCAATATAGGTGTTTGCCTAAGCGTTTTTTACTATATAACCCAAATACATCATTGTCTGTTATGGTAGCCTAGTGGTAGGGCAATCGCTATGTATAATCATGAAGCTGGGCTTGATTTTAATTCACTGCATCAAACCTAAGACAAAAACATGTACGCATTTATGTTCCCTAACCATGCACCCAACATTTGTAGTGAATTAAACCCTAAAAATCTCACAGTAGATGTTAGGATAATGACCCTGAGTTCCAAGTAAAGTTCCATATTGAAGCTATTCACCAGTATATATTAAATGAGTGAATGAGTGAGATTCTCATGATAACATTATCAATCAAAGTATCAATAAGAAGCTGATACTTACTACTAAATGCTAGAGACAGGTTACTCCAAAGAGACTGTATAAACCGAGATTCTGTGTCACAGTAGGTGTGGGTGTTGGCACGAAAAGGATCCCTTGCTTCTCAAAGGCAATAAGTGCTGAGTACAAGTCTACATTTGCAGCTTACTATCCCAAGTGGTGGCATCATAAAATGACTGAAAAATTTTCAATAGACTAATTAACAAACAAACCATTATCACAAAAAAAAGCAAACTCTACTATTACATTTTTTTTTTTACAAATTTCTTTATTTGCAATTTAACTAAGAAACATACATATGAAATAATAAAATATTGATTTAATTAACTGAGCAATATTATAATGTGTGCAATTTTTTTGTCAATAAATTATACTAAATTTTTTTCTGCAGTAACTTTGGACCCACAGTGCTTTGCTTCTTTGAGCTACATTCAAGCTTTAAAGTGGTATTGTAGGCCAAACTTACACTACGACGTCATGTGACTTTAGAGTCTAGTGCCCTGTTCAGACGGAGAGTTTAATTCGCAGTAAATTATTGCGAAGTAAAAGAAAATTAAATGCAAATCAAACTAATGCATATCAAACTGTGTTCACATGACAGCTAATTATAATGCAAAGTAACCAAATCGAATAAAAATTTTACTTTGACAGTCATGCGGGCTTCAGTTAGGCTTTTATGACATCATTTACAAATCATGTCACCTTAGGCATAAACAGATGTATTTGACATAATGTCACAGTGTCTGTTTTCACATTTTAGTGATTAACACTATATTTTCCTAAGTTTTTCACTCAAAAATAGCACAAGTACTTAAAGCTGACCACCAACATGTAGCATTTGACTTAATTTTGCCATTTCACATGCCTCAAAATTCAATTGGAATAAGCTTACCTTAGTCATGTTAGTGTTCACAAGGAGCTAATGCAAAGTAATTTAATGCGCAGCAAATTAATTCGAATTAAAATAATTTGAATTGAACTCAGTGCATGTGAACATGCATCAATGCACCAAATGTCTAGTGCGGTTTGACAAGCCTGATCTAAATTAAAAGTAAAAAAAGTATCTGCCCTTACCATGCTTATTGTACCCTAACATCACACCCGTCAACATATTATTAGTTGAAAAACATTTTGTTTTGAACATGTTGAAAGCAAGTCTTGTTGAAATTACATGCTCACACATAATTAAATAAAATTTAAAGCTGTGGGGATTTTAAAAGGCTAACTGAGAGCGTCTGAACTGTAAAACAGTTAATATATCGCTGTGTCTGTGTATTTCTAAAAATATCGACAGCTGATAAATGCTCTAAGCTGCCATAGTCTGATAGTAATATAATGTAAATTTTAGGTAAACAAAAATCTTATCTTCGAATTCATTCCCATTGTCCAAGCCAATCATAAATTAAAATGTAACCGTCAGCTCTTTAATCATTCGATACAATTATCACTGGGGAATCCGAAACAGAGTCAAGAGTCAGAGTGTTCATCCTTGTTTATCACTGTGGCAGTCGGAATTTCCTCGTAAACAATTCACACAAGAATATATAAATCGGATAATTTTGCTTAGAATAATGCTCAAGAGGATTGATAAAGTACTATGAGCGGCAGATAAAATGTCCGTGCATGTTTACATACGGCTTGTATGGTGAGAAAATCCTCTACTTCACTTTGTAAACATGATCAACATGTGGGTCCGATTTGCCGATTTCGATGGGACACACTGAAACCCGGATGTACTAAAGACCTGCAATTACCCGATTTTTTTATTTTAAATTAAATGATAATATTGAGTACTTAAAAAGTCTTATTTTAAAGACCTTTGACTATGATGCATTATGTTATACAAGAATTCATTTGTTTGGAATATTACTGACAATTTTTAATCAGGTCATATCAGGATTATAGCATATCAAGTCTTTAGTACCTTCCCGTTTCCCACAATGCCGCGCGTTGTTTACACCTATACAAATGCAGAAAAAAACCATTTTGATTTCACCTTTTGTTGTGTACAAACATCACATTTTAAATTACTTGCATAAAAAGAAAACAGAAACACCGAATCAACACTATATCTTACTGATAGGTCCCTGCTAAAAACTGTGCGTTAGTGGCACAGTGAAGGCTTGGCTGGCTACAGTAGCTAGACAACTTGTCCAAGTAAGGTTTCCCACATATTTGTTTTATGAAAAAACAAATATAGTTCGGAGTTTGTTTATCTTCATACCAAATGACAGGGTTTTTCATCAATTCGAAATGATTTCAAATAAAATTTTTCATAGTATAACTGTTTCCATTAAAAAATTAATATTTTTAGCTCTCAGAAAAAAAAAAACGTTTATGATTTATTTACCCCTGGCCTAATTATAGGGGCCAGCCCCTTTTCCTCAATCTTATATGAAAGCTCTCATAATTACGCACAACTTTTGTTGTATATTTCTTGCCAAACTATTCTCAGTGCAAAAGTAATTACGCGTTTTGACCGGAAGTGACGTCATTTGACGACTTTTGACAATTCCGGCATTATTTCCGGCTGACATCACAGTCAGTAAGTCAGAAAAAAATTGAAAAACTCAAATTCAATCGTTTTATTTGATTTATTTTGATTCAAAGGAAAAACTTTGAATTTTCGACTACTTCCGGTTTTTACCGGAAGTACTTCTGATGGATGCTTTTTGTTGAAGATTGTGAATAAAAATATATGTTCTAATTGGCTTTAATCAATCCCGTTAAATTTTTCAAAAAATCTTAAAATTAAACATCCCTTCCTGTGTCGACCGGAAGTGATGGATGCGAAATTAAAAGACGTCATGCATAACTCAATAAGATGTTTTCTAATCCCTGAAAATATCATGATTCAATTTTGAGTGGTTTACAAGAAGATGCTTGGACAAAATGACAACTTAAAAAAAGAAAATCGGACAAAAAATGTGACCGGAAGTGATTTTCAAAAAAATGAAAAAAAGGTCTGGAGATATTACAATAATGCATCATTCCTGAAAAAATCTTTGAAATCGGTTCAGTAGTTTTGGAGAAATCACGTGTACTATGAAAAGGGAAAAATAATAATAATAGGAAACATAAGAAAAACAGTAAGGTCTTCCGAAGGAAGTCGGAAGACCTTAATAAGAAACAGAGTAAAAACAATATGTTCCCAAACTCCGTTTGGGGAACATAATAAAGTCATAATGCATCTTTATAGGTAGCTCGCTGACTAGACAGTGTACACAGTACGATCAAAACGTAAGTCCAACCTATTTTTGCACACGGTCCTTACAGATGATGCAACAGGTATAAAGAACGCAGGTAAAAGGTGCACACGGCCCCTAATTTTTTGCACACGGTCCTTACAGATGATGCAACAGGTATAAAAACGCAAGTAAAACGTATTGATGAACACGGCCCACAGCAGGTATGTAAACTAGAGCTGAAAATTCAAGATCACTCTTCGTTAGCATTCTGAACTTGACAAAAGTAAAATATGACAGAGGAAAATACAACAGAGACCGTACCAGAAACACAGGATCTTATGGACGTAGATGACAGGAGAATGATATGCGGTATCTAAGTCAAATGGCTTTTATCATGCAGATAATTCAAAATGATATGGGTGAATTTAGAAAAGAAGTGATGCAAAAGATTAGCCAACTAGGAAGGAAGACAGGCCAATTAGTGACAAAAGTACAAGCCTCAACCCAATATTTCAGGGACCCACCAGACTTAACGTTTACTGAAAGAAGGAGACAAAAAAGAGAAAAAGGAAGACAACAGAGATTCAAGGCCCTAATACTACACACAAGAGAAAACTATCCCTAATTACCGATAAGGCACTGAAGGAGAAGTAAATTGATGTATTTTCATTCTGGATAAAATTGCTGCGTTATTTTTTTTGTCTTGTGTGTGTTATTTGTTATTGCTTTGAGGAAATCCAGTTTGAACTGGTTTAGGCTAGGCCGAGCTTTTGACTGTGAGTGAAAGCAGTGAAAGCGTGATGTTATAATGACATTCTTGAATCGCTGCCAAAATCGTAGTAGCATCGTTATGAATCGTAGTAGCAGCGTATATAGTAAAATGTAAACACTCCCGTATTTAGGGGCTATATGTAATAAACTGACCCAGCTATCCCCTAGACCCCCCTAATCTGCACTCCCTTGACCCGTCTATCCCCCAGGGCCAAAAATGCCCTAGATATTGAACCGCCTATCCCCACAGACCCCCCTAATCTGCACTCCGTTGTACCCCGCCCCGGCCCAAAAATGTCCTAAATATTGATCCCCTATCCCCCAGGGCCCAAATGTGCACTCCGTTGAACCCCCTATCCCCCATCCCCCAAAGTGCACTCAGTTGAAAACCCCGGCTAGACCGTTTATACATGTACTACTTGTTAGCAAACTTTAAACATGTTTTTTATTCTCTCCTTCACCAAGGATTTCAAGTCAGCTATATTTCGTGCAATTTCTGGCGTGAAGTCAAAACTCCGCCAAAAACTATTCATATTCAATTATTTAATTCCATTATAACTAATTAAAAAAATTGTCATAAAATATTCAATGAAAATTAAAAGAAAAAATACTCACAAACTATCAAACATACTCCCCATATACTTAAATTTTTTATATACCTGGTTGTGTTTTTTTTTGACATATGATTATTGGTCGAGGGAGAGTGGGTGGATGGGTGGGGGGCTTAAGAACCCCCCTTCTTATTAAAGTTCATTCGTTGTCCTCTCTAAATGAACAATCTTTCTATTTTCGTGTAATATACATGAAGATTTATATATTTATATACATGTAAAAACTTTCAGAATTAAACAATTAATACAAACCAATGACCACATTGACCGCCTCCACAAAATCCTTTACTTCGGTTAGAATTTTAAACTGTCTGCATAGATCGTTGTAACTCTAATAATCAAAATTAGATCTAAACGCTAATTGTCGTCTCCCTCCTTGGAATGTCATCTGTTCCTATAAATAATGAAAATACTTCATTCACTGAGAGAGAGGGGTGGGGTGGGGAAGTAAATACTCTTTATAGTACATATATATGAGAGAGAGATATATACAATATTTTGTTTTATTCACATGATTAATTGTCTGATTTATCTGCAAAACCAAAATAGTATACTGGTTTGTTATTTACG